ATCTCCCATTTCTCCCAATTACCAGTCTGCCACTGGTTCCTACCCTCACCTATGGTCACGACACTTGGGTAGTAACTGAAAGAATGAGATCACAGATACAAGCGGCCAAAATGAGTTTTCTCTGCAGGGTGGCTGGGCTCTCCCTTAGAGGCAGGGTGAAAAGCTCGGTCATCCAGGAGGGGCTCGGAGTAGATCTAACAGCAAATGCATATCTGCAGCAGATGCAACTGAGAAGTAAAACAGCTTGATTAGAATATTCCAGTAAAGAAGTATACATGGGCTGTAGACTGTGAGCTCACAGAAGCACCGCCCTTCTCTGAGTAGAGAATGACATTTGATGTTTGTATTCAGGACCATCCTGTCTGATCTGTGTGTGTGCGTGTGTGTGCGTGTGCGCGTGTATGTGTGTGTGTGTGTGTGTGTGTGTGTGTGTGTGTGTGTGTGTGTGTGTGTGTGTGTGTGTGTGTGTGTGTGTGTGTGTGTGCGTGTGCGCGTGTATGTGTGTGTGTGTGTGTGTGTGTGTGTGTGTGTGTGTGTGTGTGTGTGTGCGTGTGTGTGCGTGTGCGCGTGTATGTGTGTGTGTGTGTGTGTGTGTGTGTGTGTGTGTGTGTGTGTGTGTGTGTGTGTGTGTGTGTGTGCTGGTATAACTTTGAAAATAAAAGGCCGAGGAGGGAATTCAAAACCAGAACACACTGGCAGGTAGCTGATCATGTGCGTCTCATCTCAGGCCAACCAAGATCTTGTGTGTGTGCAACTTATTGGGGGGTATTGGGTAGATCTCTTACAGAGTCACTTCCAAAGATGCAGCGGCGGACTGAGAGAGGAATTTACCAGGGGGTAAAGAGGAATCTCATCACAACACTAGGGCATCTAGTTACAACGTCTCCTGGACGCCTACCTGGTGAGGTTTTCTGGGCATGTCCATCGGGGAGGAGACCTAAGGAAGACCCAGGACACGCTGGAGAGACTATGTCTCTAGGCTGGCCAGGGAGCACCTTGGGGTCCCCCCGGAGGAGCTGGCCCAGGTGGCTGGAGAGAGGATCTGGGCCTTGTATAGCACCTCTCAGAGTAAGGACTCCTAAGTGCTTTACACTACAGTGTATCATTCATCCATTCACTCACACATTCACACACTGATGTGATGAGCTACGATGTAGCCACAGCTGCCCTGGGGCACACTGACGGAGGCGAGGCTGCCGAGCACAGGCGCCACCGGTCCCTCTGACCACCACCAGCAAGCAAGGTGGGTGTCTTGCCCAAGGACACAACAGCAGAATTATTATCTGTCCGGAGCCGGGATCGAACCTGCAGCCTTCCGATTACTGGACAACCTGCTCAACCTGTTGAGCTACTGCTGCCCCCAACCCCAGATAAGCGGCCGAAAATGGATGGATGGAAAATTCATGAAACCGTCTAAAAATAATTGAAATTCCATCTGGGGTGGACCATACATCATTCACTATGTTACCAATGATTTTGTGAAGCTGACTTGAAGCTTTGAAACAAGCATTATATTAATATGAACACGAAACTAAAACATGGAGACTGACCTCAGAACCTTCAGTCTACAGTCTGGACTCTCCAGGAAACCACAGAGCTCCTTCCCTCCAGAATCAGACAGGATGTTCTCACTCAGGTCCAGTTCTGTCAGATGGGACGGGTTGGACTTCAGCGCTGAGACCAGAGAAGAACAGCCGATCTCTGACAGCCCGCAGCTCCTCAACCTGAGTAAAGAATAAAAGCAGTGAGCTGAAGACAACAGGATGCAGGTTAAAACACAAATATGAACTGAATAATTTAAATCAATTAATAAAAAATTTACTTTACTATTTATTAATAGATTAAATTTTCAGTAATTTTTCAACATAGACAGTGCCCTTACGGTTTTAATCACAAATAAATGACATTTATTTCTTCTTTATTTAAAGCAACATGTATGTTTCCTTGGGGACTGGGCGCAGTGTTGTTTTCATCAGTGATGATGACGATGATTTCATTAGCGCTCCTTTTTCTCGTAGAGGAAATATAGAAGCTAATGAGCTACATATTACTCTTTGGTGACTAAAGAGACGTGCAGGAGTTTTTGTTGAGTTGAGACGGGATGAAAATTGTGTTCAAATGTAAATTTCTGCCTGTCTAACAAAAACTAAAAAGTAACAGCGCTCCTGCTGCAGCTGCTGCTGCGGTCTCCAGCGTCTGCAGGACCTGTAATTTTCTTCATAGGTATTTCTCAGAAATGAGACATAATGAAGAAAATAAGTCTAGAAAAACACATTGCCTGATTTTTTAATTATTTATATGTTTTCTGTTGACTTCACAGCCAGACAGGACACGGGAGTGTGTGTGTGTGTGTGTGTGTGGGGGGGGGGGGGGGGGGTAGAATTATGGTAGAGTAGAAAATAAGTATTTGGTCGATAACAAAATTCCATCTCAATGCTTTGTTAGATAACCTTTAATAGCAATGATAAAGGTCAAATGTTTTCACACACTGTTGCTGGTATTTTGGCTCATTCCTCCATGCAGATCTTCTTTAGTGCAATGATGTTTTGCAGCTGTTGCTGGGCAACGCAGACTTTCAACTCCCTTCAAAGAGTTTCTATGGGGTTGTGATCTGGAGACTGGCTAGGCCACACAGGACCTTGAAGTGCTTCTGTTAAATCCACTCCTTTGTTACCCGGTGTTTTACGGATCATTGTCATACTGAAAGACCCAGCTACATATTCAATGTCCTTGCTGATGGAAAGATGGTTTTACTCAAAATCTGATGATACTTGGCCCCATTATTTATTTTCTTTACACGGGCCAGTCGTCCGGGTCCCTTTGCAGAAAGACAGCCCCAAAGCATGATGTTTCCATCCCCATGCTTTACAGTGGGTATGATGTTCTGTGAACAAAACTTTAATGGAGTTTAAAATGTGTTTGAAAAGTTTGTATTAATTTTGTATTGTTATTGTTTGTAAGTGTGAATTTGATCATTTTGGTTGTATTTTAGCTTGTGACGGTAAGTTGAAAGCAAAAATGCTCCAGAATTTTTATGGGTTTCGCTGTAATGCCATTTAAGTTTGTATTTATTTTAAAACAGCTTTGTATTATCGGTCAGAGTTCAGTTTTAGAGATAAATCTTTTTTTTCTGCTGCAGCCGTTTTAACAAACCCCCAGTGGCTGCTTTGTTTAGTAATCTGAAACGTGTTTAGAACCATTTTGTTCTGTTTTCATTGTGACATTTATTGTGCATTGTAGGAGCTACAAATGCTGTTGCTGCCAGTGCCAGAAGACATATTTTGAGAGTGTTTCTGTTACGAATCCGGGGCTCCCGCACCATGAATGGCCCAGTCCTGCTCCCTCCATGCTGTTCAGGACCTTGGACAGGTCCTCCATCCTGCTCCCTCTATGCCATTCAGGACCTTGGACAGGTCCTCCATCCTGCTCCCTCTATACCATTCAGGACCTTGGACAGGTCCTCCATCCTGCTCCCTCCATGCCATTCAGGACCTTGGACAGGTCCTCCGTCAGGCTGGCCTCCACCTCTGCCCGCCTTCGCTGTCCCGGCTGCATAATATTAGCTTATGAGGACAGATGGTTCAAAAGGCCGCAACTTTCAGTTCTCGAGGAGAGACTCACAGCGTAACACCCTGTCTTTCTCTCCTCGGTTTGGGTCTTTGTGATTAACGGATTAGATTTGGTAAAATTCGGTAAAGAACTTTGATGACTGTGATAGTTAAGATAGATAGTTCCTTTTGGATGACCATAGAGTAATTAGTAGTCGTTTTCGTTTAGTAATCCCGTTTTTTGTCTGCCCTAGTGCTTGAATTTCAGTTTCTTTTTCAGCTTTAGGGCTTGCTTTAAGTTTGTTAGTGGGTAATAATATTTAGAATAGAGAGAGCCGTCGAGATTTGTTTTAGTTAGCTAGTTCCGGCATTTTTTCTTTTGTTTGTTAGTACCGATATTCTTGTGTTTTCTTCCCTGAGACCGTTTGTCTCAGGTGTTTAGAGTTTTCTCCGTCGCCATCGTTAATTATATCCGAGTATGTCTCGCGTTTTGTTTTGTGTTTTCCAGTCAAGGACTGAGTGATTGTGTTCCCCTGTGTTAATAAAAACACATTTTATTTACACTCCCCCTTTTTCCGCACCAGTTTTTATGTTACCCCTCTACCACAACGCCTAAACAACTCAGGGGTTGTAACAGTTTCTATGTCTTCTGCAGGTATGTGTGTTCTGGTAACTGGTCATTTTGTTCATGAGTTCAGCCATGTGATAGTGTTCTGTCGTAGCCTTGTGTGCCCGCTAGGTGGCAATGTTTTGCATATGACAAACTGTTTTATTGCAATTTCATTTAATTTTGTTAGTTATATGCTTAAAAAATATGTATCTCTATTGTAAAAGTCCATTTGATGTTCATATAATTTAAACCAGTATAGTTAAAGGGAGGGTCCGTAAGGGCGAGGAGGGAATTTTACAATTTGAAAGGCTACTGCTCCTCCTTCGCTCTTCCAGAAACAGCCGAAAGTTGTGCCTCGTTTAGTTTCTTGGTTTTTCATTTTCCTGTCGTTTCTGTCTCTGAACTTCCTGCATCTCCTCTCAGTTCTCCAGAAAAACTGCTGCCTCCTTCCTCCAGTTTCACCTCAACAGTTACTTTTTAACTGAGCAGATCTAATGGATCTACTGATCGCAAAAACAGCGGAGTTTGCAACGCGCTGCCCAGACACATCAGGTAATGAGCGCTACAGTGGCAGAGTGTGTCTATACGCTGGAAACATCTTCTAACAGAATATTTTGTTCTAATAATGGCAGCAGCACTTAATTACAGAACTTAAACATCTACAGCGCCTCCTGCTGGGCTCCTGATGAATTTACCTGAAGTCTGTTTAGTCCTTGAACGTTGTCATTGTGGAGCTGATATGAATGTTTGATGATATTGTTGCATGCTGGCATCAGGTCACATGATCTCAATATTTGAGAAAACAGAAACAGAAAATCTCTTAACAGCTGCGGTGAACTGACCTCAGAACCTCCAGTCTACAGTTTGGACTCTCCAGTCCAGAATTCAGAACCTTCACTCTAGAATCAGACAGGATGTTGAAACTCAGGTCCAGTTCTGTCAGATGGGATGGGCTGACCTTCAGAGCTGAGGACACAACTTCATAGTGACTCTCCGAGAGTTCACAATAAAAACCACCAGCTCTGTGATGAGAGAAAAGTTCAAGTCAGTTGTAATAAAATCAAATAATCTGTCTGATAAACAACCTGAAATCAGATAACTAAACAGTGATGTCATCATCTGATGAACATCTGCTCTTCACATCTGTACTTCATCTGGTCCACCTGACTGTCTGACATGAGCCAGTGAATCTGTTCAGTCTCTTTCACACCTGCAGACTCGATGAGAATCTTAGATTATCTTTAATCTGCAGATGAAGGAGGGAACATGGCAAGGGCAAGGCAGCATTATTTGTATAGCGCACTTCAAACACAAATACATTTTAAAGTACTTTACAGAAGCAAGAACAGCACACAAAATTAATTAAACAAAGAAATGTAGATATTAATTACAGATTCAACAAACAGATAAAAGTCATAGTAACAGTGGAGATGATGCAGCATAAGAAACATTTATTAAAAGGCTGATGAATACATTATGGTTTTAAACTTTGATTCAAAAGTTTCTACAGTTGGGGCACATTTGAGGTCATGAGGAAGCTGATTCCATCTGTGAGCATCTTAGTAGCTAAAAGCAGCTTCACCCTGTTCGGTTCTGACCCGGGGTTCTACCAGCTGACTGCTTCCTAAGGACCCGAGAGTCCTGCTGGGCGTATATACTTGAAGGAGATCAGACAGCATGGCCCCATGCCACTGAGAGATTTATAAACTAGTAGAAGTACTTTGAAGTCGATTCTACAGTTTACTGGTAACCAGTGTAGAGATTTAAGAACAGGAGTGATGTGCTCGGTTCTCTTGGTTTTTGTTAGAACTCTAGCAGCAGCATTCTGAATAAGTTGCAGTGGTTTTACAGCTGTTTTGGGAAGACCAGTTCAAAGCTGCTTGTTGTTGCGAAGGTTCGGTACAAATCACGGGGGAGGGTGCCTTCTCTCATGCAGCCCCAAAACTCTGGAACACTCTGCCCCTCCATGTGCGTTCAGCTCCCTCTGTCAGCACGTTCAAGTCGGCTCAAGACTTCCATCTTTCCTGTTCATTTTCTCTCTCCCTTTTATTACATTTTTTAATCACAGTTTGTTATAATTTTAAACATATTTTTTACTCATAAAACATCTTTACTACATTTTAATTATTTTTGTTTTTGTGAAGCACATTGTGATTTTTATCTTGAGAGGTGCTATATAAAAGATTGTTTTCTTTCTTTCTTTTTTACCTGAACCTTCTGCAGTTCCTCACAGCTGGAAACATACTCCATCGTGCCCCTGGTGATGCGTTGTACTTCTTCAGGTCCAACTCCTCCAGAACCTCCTCTGACATCAGCAGGATGTAGGCCAGAGCTGAACACTGGATCTCTGAGAGTTTCTCTGATCTGTTCTCCGACTTCAGGAACTTTTGCACCTCCTGATGAACTGAGAGGTCCTTCATCTCCATCAGACAGTGGAAGATGTTGAGGTTTCTGTCTGGAGAGACTTCATTACTGTTCATCTCCATCAGGTTTTTTTTGTTTCTCTGGAAGGTTCCTGGACTGATCTGTGTCTGACCCAGCAGACCTCCTAAGAGTCTCTGGTTGGACTCCACAGAGAGGCCATGAAGGAAGCGGACAAACAGGTCCAGGTGGCCGTTTTTACTGCTGAGGGATTTCTCTGTGACTCTCTTCAGGAAGTCCTCCAGAGGTGAGTCTCTGTAGTCTCCTCCCAGGAAGTTCTCCATCACCTCTGTGTTCCTGCTGGTGAAGCAGTGGAACATGTAGACTGCAGCCAGAAACTCCTGAACGCTCAGATGAACAAAGCAGTAGACTGGTTTCTGGAACATCACACACTCTCTTCTGAAGATCTCTGTACAAATTCCTGAGAACACCGAGGCCTCTGAGACATCCAGACCAGCCTGCTCCAGGTCTTCTTGGTAGAACATGATGTCTCCTTTCTCCAGATGTTCCAACGCCAGCCTCCCCAGCTTCAGAAGAAGCTCTCTGTCAGCCTCCATCAGCTCCTGAGGACTGGTCTCAGGTCCTTCATGGTACTTGTTCTTCTTCCTCTTGGTCAGAACCAGCAGGAAGTGTGAGTACATGTCAGTCATGGTCTTGGGCAGCTCTCCTCTCTGCTCTGTAGACAACATGTTCTCCAGAACTGTAGCAGTGATCCAGCAGAAGACTGGGATTCCACACATGATGTGGAGGCTCCTGGAGGTCTTGATGTGGGAGATGATTCTGCTGGACAGCTCTTCTTCACTGAACCTCCTCCTGAAGTAGTCCTCCTTCTGGGCGTCAGTGAAGCCTCGTATTTCTGTGACCCTGTGGACACATGAAGGAGGGATCTGATTGGCTGCTGCAGGTCTGGAGGTGATCCAGACCAGAGCCGAGGGAAGCAGGTTCCCCTTGATGAGGCTTGTCAGCAGCACCTGGACTGATGACCTCTGTGTGACCTCAGAAAGCAGCTGACTGCTGCTGAAGTCCAGTGAAAGTCTGCTTTCATCCAGACCATCAAAGATGAAGAGAAGTTTCCAGACAGCCAGCTTCTCTGCTGGGATCTTCTGGAATGTTGGATAGAAAACACGGAGCAGCGTGAGAAGACTGTGCTGCTCATCTCTGATCAAGTTCAGCTCCCTGAAGGAAAGCAGAAGCACCACATGGACATCCTGGTTCTCCAAGCCCTCGGCCCAGTCCAGAGTGAACTTCAGCACTGAGAAGGTTTTTCCAGCTCCAGCGACGCCATTGGTCAGAACCACTCTGATGGCTCCTGGTTGCTCAGAAAAAGCTTTAAAGATGTCCTGGCACCTGATTGGAGCATCATGGAGCCTCTTGGTCCTGGAAGTGGTCTCCAGCTGTCTCACCTCATGTTGGGTGTTAACCTCTTCACTCTGTCCCTCTGTGATGTAGAGCTCAGTGTAGATCCTGTTCAGGAGGGTCCTACTTCCTGGTTCATCACTTCCTTCAGTCACACGTTCACATCTCCTCCTCAGACTGAGCCGATGTTCGTCTAGAACCTCCTGCAGACCAACATCTGCTGACAAATGTGACACAGAGAAGACCTGAATGCTGCAGCAGAACCTCCAACATTTTATTGGTAGTTCAATCTGAATAATCTTCATAAAGATCTGAAATCTTCATCCTGAACCAAACAACGTGTTTTAAACCAACAGGTTACCAGAAACTTCTCACCTGGTCCTGAGCTGCTCTGATTGGCTGTCTCTTCCTGATGTTCTGGAAGCTTCTTGTTGGCAGCAAGCAGCCTGTATAGAGCTCCAGATTAGGGACTTTTCACATCAAACATTAAATGTGTTCAAACTTTCATCCTGTTGTAATTCTGGAGAAACAAACGTCTTCAGACTAAACAATTAAATATCTCATTTAATCACAACTGAACAAACTTGGAGGAAATCAGAGTAAAAACTGTTTCTGATGCTCTGATAACAGCTGCATGTTCACCTGGTCAACTTTGTTTTAAACAATTTAGAACTCCACTAATTCATCAGTTCTACTAGAAATCAGCAGAAGTCCTGATTTTCTGAATGAGGAGTCAAATGAATCAGTTAGAAGTATGTTTTTTACTTTGTGTCTGAAGGTCCAGATTCACTGAAGTCTGGAGGTCTTTCCTTGGAGACGTCACTCTTCATAGACCAACAGCTGGGTCCTGGAGGATCTGCTCTCCTTCTGTGGCTCTGACCTCTGAAACACACATGTTGTAACTCAGATCACATCAATCAGTGAGAAAATCTCTGATGAAACCATTTCAGAAGTTCTGAACACACAAACTGCTGCAGAGAATCAGAAGGTTTCATGTTTGCAACTGAGGTCAGATGAAAGCTTCTCTAGATGATGGACATCAGAGAGGAGAAACCTAAGCAAGTTCATTCAGCTCCATCAACACTTTTCTTGCTTTGTGTCTGAAGGTCCAGATTCACTGAGGTCTGGAAGTGTGGACTGGGAGGACCTGCTCTTCATAGGTAGACAGCTGGATCTCGAAGGTTCTGCTCTGTTCTCCTCTTCCTCCATGTCCATCTTCCTCCTGAAACTGATGTTTCAAGATTGGATCCAAAAATATTTCATATCAGAGTTAACAAGACAAACAAGTTACATTCTTTTTTTTCACAGAGGCAGGGGTAAAAAAGAAAGGAAGGGACACACAACAATACAACAAGAGCAAGCCATCACTGTGTCAGCCTGATGAGGAAATATAAAATCAACATTGTTTTACTGAACAATCACACGATAATAAATCACAGCGCATTTAGTGCCAACCACAGCCTTAAGACGTGTTGAAAATGCTCAAGTCCATACTTATGAGAGCATCATATGAGCGCCTGTGTGTGTACACGTGCTTTTACATGTAAGGTTTCTCTATAGGTGTCACGAACTGAACTAGGAAGACCCGTGAAGACGCCAAACACAATAAAAAATATTTTTTAAAAGTCTTTATTTGAAGCAGAGTTAAGAGAGTTGGGCGAGGCTGGAGACAGAGTTGGAGAGGAGGCGAGAGTCAAAACCAGATCGGACATGCAGATACGGGGAACAGGCAAGAGGCGAGGTTGAGGACAGGCGAAGGTCGTGGAGGCAGGCAGAGTTCAGGCAGGGGTCAGGAGAAAAACGAGGTCCAGAGGCAGAGATCAGGCAGGGTGAATTGCTGGAGAATTTACTGGCACAAAGTCTTAAATAATCTGGCACTGAATGACTGGATGGCTGGTTCTTTTGTAGCAGGGGAAACCGATGTGAGTGATGAGCTGAGGAGTCAAAAGCAGGTGAAGAGGATGAAGCTGATTGTGGTAGTCAGGGAAACAGGGCTTGGCTGGGGCTTGATGATGAGACCAGGTGTGCTGCATGAAGGTTGAGGAGGGTGAAGGATTGGGAGTCATGACAATAAGAGCGTCCAATAGAGAGTGTGAGGGGCCACAGATCTGCCCCAAAGACTTGTTGGAGATGGAGGGAGCTCCAAGTCCCAGAGATCCAGGAGCTGCCCCAGAGCACAGAGACCCCAGGGAGACTGTTTGCATTTATGTTTATGTATTTAGCAGACGGTTTTGTCCAAAGCGACTTACAAGTGATAATCGGCATGTTGCCCTTGAGGTTAACAACAACAATGACAACAACAACTTGACATCAACCATGGAGAGGAGGGAACAAGGAGTGAACAGTAGAGGGGGGGGGGGGGGGACGGGTGCAGGGAGGGTGCTAGTTTAGAAGATCCTCTCTGAAGCGCAGGGTCTTCAGGAGTTTCTTGAAAATTGAAAAGGAAGCCCCTATTCTGGTAGTACTTGGAAGGTCATTCCACATTTGTGGAACGATGCATGAGAAGAGTCTGGATTGTCATGAGCGTGGTGTAGGCACTGCTAGCCGACGATCTTGTGATGACTGGAGCGGCCGGGCCGAGACGTAAGCCTTTGCAAGAGGATTCAGGTAGATGGGAGCCGTACCATCTCGGACTTTGTATGCAATTTGTTAGCAATTTGAATTTGATGCGTGCTGCTAGCGGTAGCCAGTGGAGCTCAATGAACAGAGGGGTGACGTGTGCTCTTTTTGGCTGACTGAAGACCAGACGCACCGCTGCATTCTGGACCATTTGAAGAGGTCCCACAGTACAGGCTGGAAGACCAGTTAGAAGGGCATTGCAGTGATCGAGGCGGGAGATGACAGTAGATTGCACCAGGAGTTGAGTGGCATGTTGTGGAACTGCGCTGCTCTGGGTGGCTGCATGTTGGAGTAGCTCTTGACTATATGTAAGTTTTGCCTTTTCTTGGGCATTTTTTCTTCTAGTTTCTCAAGAAAAACTGTATTTTTTTGGACACTTTACTTTTCTGTTTCTGGTGCTGTGAAGCTTGGAGGATTTTTACAGCTATTTTTTTTAAGCTTTTTTCATTTTTTGAGCATTTGTTATGATGCATAACCATGGCAACAAGCTGGTTTACTATCGGGAGCAGCTGATTAACATTGGAAAGGCTGAACTAATACCTCAACTGAAGCCACAAATCCCAAATGCCCTAAAACGCAAGAAGCGTGGATGCAGAGTGGGAGCAAAACGGAGACAGAGAAAGAGGAAATTCAAACCATCTCTTCCATCGATCATAATGGGCAACGTGAGATCACTGGTCAACAAGATGGAGGAAGTCCAAGCCCTTTCAAGGACTCAGCCAGAGTTTCGGCAGTTTCGGAACCGCTGGAGGAGATAATGCAAAGAAAGATTCTCCCGAGAATCAAGAAAATGATGGACAACCCTGAGCATTCTCTTCACAAGACTGTCTGACAACGGAAGAGTGTCTTCAGTCAGAGGCTTCTTCAGTTTCGCTGCAACACTGACCGCTACTGGAGATCCTTCCTGCCAACAGCCATTGTAATATACAACAACTCTTTGATGACTTGATTATTATTGTTATTCTGAGCTGCTACAGCAATCAATTTCCCTTTGGGATTAATAAAGTATTTTTGGTTTTGATTTTGATTTTAATTGAGATAGGAAGTAATTTTGGATTCAGATATTGTGCTGTATGGATGGTTTTGCTGGTATGACAAGTAGTTCAGTTTTAGAGAGTTTGAGTTGGAGATGATGGGATTTCATCCATTTTGATATGTCAGAGAGACAGTTTGATATTCGTGCAGAGACAGTGTGGTCGTCTGGTGGAAATGACAGATAGAGCTGGGTATCGTCTGCATAGCAGTGGTAGGAGAAGCCATGTGATCGAATGATCTCACCCAGTGAGGTGGTGTATATGGCAAAGAGAGGAGGTCCTACTACAGAGCCCTGGGGGACTCCTATGGCAAGATGGTGCACGGTAGAGGACTGTCCAAGCCAAGATACACTGAATGATCGTCCTGTGAGGTACGATTCAAACCAGGCGTGTGCTTTCTCTGTGATGCCCATGCTAGAGAGTGTGGACAAAAGGAAGCCATGGTTGACAGTGTCAAATGCAGCCGATAAGTCGAGCAGGATAAGCACTGAGGATTTGGCATTCACTCTAGCTTCTTTTAAGGATTCAGTCACTGCTAACAGAGCAGTTTCAGTGGAGTGGCCCTTTCTGAACCCAGATTGGTAAGGGTCAAGCAGACAGTTTTGTGTGAGGTATTCTGTGATCTGCTTGAAAGCCACCCTTTCAATGATTTTGGACAGAAAAGGGAGGAGAGAGATAGGTCGGTAGTTCTCCACATGATTTGGAGGAAGAGGTGGGTTTTTTTAGCGGTTTAACCTCAGCATGCTTGAGAGAGTTGGGAAATGTACCAGATGCCAGTGAAGCGTTGATCACATGTGACTGCTGCGGCTACTGTAGGAGCAATAGCTTGGAGCAGCTTAGTCGGAATGGGGTCAAGTGGGCATGTAGTAGGGTGGCTGCACGTGAGAAGCTTGGACACACAGTTCTCAGTGAGGGGAAAACGAGGAAAATGAAGCAATAGGGCTTGAGATGGTTGGGCTAGAAGGAGTTTGTGGTAGTGAATGTTCAGGAGTTGCCAGTTGAGTAAACTGTTTGCTTATAGCTGCCACTTTGTCAGTGAAGAATGAGGCAAAGGTGTCAGCTGATGAAATAGTTTCTGAGAGTCAGTAGAGCTGAGAATTTGGTCAGTGTAGAAAGCTTTCTTTGCATCAGTGATGCTGGCAGAGAATGAGGACAGTAATTCATGAAATTTCAGTAGATCACCAGGATCTTTTGTTTTGCGCCATTTCCGTTCCGCAGCTCTAAGATTGGTGCGTAGAGACCGGGGGGTATCATTTAGCCAACGGTGCGACTGAGAGGATCTAGCAGGTCTAGTGGCTAATGGGCACAAGAAGTTAAGACAAGAGCAGAGTTAATCGGTGGCTTCATTCACTTCATACTCAGAGAATGTGCTGGGAGATGGAAAAGTGGAGGCAACAAGAGAGGAGAAGTGGTTGGGTGCCAGATTGCGGAGGTTGCGGTGGAATGAGGCCATTGGGGAGGAAGCAGTGGACCTCCCTTGTAGAGTTGTGCTGAAATGGATGAAGTAATGATCGGAAAGATGCAGCGGTGTGACACAGAATGTGTCTATAGCACAGTTTCTGGTGAAAATGAGGTCAAGTGCTTTTCCAGCTTTGTGAGTTGGAGGGCTTTGTACTAGATTTAGATCAAATGATGACATTAGTGACAGGAAGCCTGATGAGCTGGGATTGTCCAGGTGAATATTCATGTCTCCAAGGACCATTGTGGGACAGTCATGCTCAGGAATGGAGGAGAGCAGGGTGTCGAGCTCATCAAGAAAGTCTACAAGTTGACCTGGTACAGTGGCGGCTGGCCAATAGAGGGCGATAGGGCGCCGCCCTCCCAGTTTTCCCCAGTGTTTTTAATTTTTATTTAAAAAAATAAATAAAGTTAACAATAATCACATATTCTAAGTTAATTGTGTGTTTTGTAACAAAAATAAATCACACACATATATATATATATATATATATATATATATATATGTTGGTCAGAAGCTCTCTGCCGAGCTGTGGAGCCGACAGAAAGGCTGTGGGCTGTGTTTCAATTGCCCAAACAGCACGAAAGCAGTCCGCCAATTGCTGACAAGAAAATCAAAGGGTAGGAATGGGAATGTATCGTATCAGCGTCAACGTTGTTTCAGAAGCATGATGGGTGATAGAGCTACCGCCAAAGGCTTTCGTTGCTGTTCGGTAGAACTCGGAGAGTCTCGACTCCAGCACGTTTTTGGTCATGACAGATGGTCGTGATGCAGATGGACGCCAGTGATACAACCAGCATGGATACCGGATCTCAGCAGCCACTGAATTCAGTTCGGTCTCTTCTCCAGTATCCGTTCGAGAGGAGAACTATGGTGGAAAAACTTAATGTCAAAGAGCTTGGACCAGATCAGCCCGACGTAAAGATAAGCCAGCAGGAGGAGGAGAGAGGTAAACTGTACACACGAGGCTTCTGGGAAGGCTTGGCTAGCTGGATGTAATCACGGTAATGCGTTATTTTGCTTTCCGTGTTTGTTATTCAAAACGACTATGACGACTGGTCTGGATTGAGTCAGGAGTTACGGACATGAAACATTTTTCTGAGAAGGTGAAGAAACATGAGTTATCCTGGGCACACATGGACTACACGGTGAAGCTAGCTATGCTAGGCAGAGCTAACATTGCCATGCAGCTCGAGACGAGGGACGCAGGCTTGCAGTGAATAAACACAATGAAGAAGTGGATCAGAACCGGCACATTTTGTCCAAGAGAGAGATGTCAACACAGTGTATGAGCACAAGGATGACCTCCTCAGATTTTTCCAGATGATCAGAGACTCGGATGACTTTGATCCAATCACTGAGAGAGAGGCAGGAGGCTTTGTGAGAATGCCAGAGGAAGAAGATTTCGGCTTTCTGCTGGCATTGTGTCACAAGATCATGCCACATGTGGACATGCCGTTCAACCAGCTGCAGAAGAGGAACATTGACTCTGTCTACATCACAGGGGTCATCCAGAGCTTCACCAACAGTATGCAAAAGATCAGGTACATACTTGTTTATTTAATATTATTGTGATGAAATTCTCCAGTATGTTAGTTTCACAAACAGTAATGTGGATGTGGACCATATATGGTCATGTTATTTTATGTGCAATTTAATGCAGTATTTTTCAACCTTGGTCCGCAAGGCAGTGAGCCAATAGTCAGACACACGTGGATTAATCCCTTTGTCCAATAATGTAAGACAGGAAATAAAAAAGCTGTGCTTAATTCAGGAAATAGTGAAGTTGTGCACAAAGCTCAGAAAGCACAAGTTTGTTTAAAAAAAATAGCACAGCCCCACCAAAAATATTTTTCACCAGCCGCCACTGACCTAGTAGCCAATATATGACAAACAAAAAGATTTTTTTTCGGTACAGTTACCTGGATGGCATGGTATTCAAAGGAGTTGTATTTAGTGATGGGTAGCAACTGACTGTATATCCCTTTGTTGGAAATTAACATGCCCGTTCCACCACCTCGGCCAGATGCACGTGAAGTGTAGGAGAAAGTGTGGTTAACTGAGAGAGCAGATGGGGTAGCATTGTCACATGGTTTGATCCAGGTCTCAGTGAGAGCCAGTGCATCGAGTGACAGGTGGTTTGCATGTGCGGTAATGAAGTCTGCTTTGTTTACAGCCAATTGACAGTTCCAGAGTCCCATAGACAGGTGGGTGTCTTCGGGCGGAGTTGGTATTAGCGAGCGGAGGTTCTGAAGGTTGCGAAAGTGGTTTGTTGTGTGTGAGACCTTCCTCTGAAGCTGTCACATTATTGCTCCCCCGTGCCTTGAGTTTTTCCTTAATTGTGTCCACCTGCCTCTTGTTACCTGATTACCCATCCCAGTGTGTATATAAGCCTTGTGTGTTGCTTGTGGTTCTGTCGGTTCGTACTCATTACATGTCAGTTTATGTTCACATCTGTCTACCCTGTCGTGTCTGCACTCCTGACCATTAAAGAGGAACCAAATGTCTGCTGCTGTCTGGCCTGGGTTGATTTACCTGCCTGAAGGATCCGCTCTTCCTCCCTCACCTTCCCTCTACATCGTGACAGAACCCAGTGATCACAGGTATAGGATAATGGCATATTTTGCAAGGTGTCGATGGAGCAGCGTCTAGGTCGAGTTTGTTTGCTCTGTGTACCTGCTCTGTGGACACGCACAGGTAGACACATATGTCTTCACACCGGAGGGGCTGAGACACAAGGGCTGACGCTTCAGTTATGCCACCAAACTTATGCTGTGCTACTAGTTGGAAACAGGTGTTCATGCACCAGCTGATTGCAATGGTTGAGACCTAGATCACCTGATGAGTGTTTTCGGGGAGGGGAGAAAAAGCTCGTTCACAGCCCCTGATTGCACTCATTGTTTTCAGATGGCCCTAACCGGAGCTGCTAGACAACAGGATTGCCGACAGATGAGTTTCCTTCTCTTTCCCAATGGAAGATAGTGCAAAGCAAAGGTTTAAGAAGACAAAAACAAGCACTAACAGACACTCAAGGCCCTTTGGTGCAGATTCAAGTCTGTTTGAAAGTGCTTGCAGTTGCTTTTTAAGCTTTGCTTCAGGTGAGAGGACAGCCCACTTAGATCACCTGATGAGTGTTTTCAGGGGGGGAGAAACAGCTCGTTCACAGGTTCCTCAGACTGTAACCAGAAAAGCCCCAGCCCCCTCTCGAGAAGTGCAGAGGATTGCCTCGGGGGGTCACAACCAGCAGCCAGCTGAGCCTGGAACCCAGCGACACGGGACCCAATCAATCAAAGCTTTATAAATAAAGCTTTGATTGATTGATTGATTGATTGATTGATTGATTGATTGACCCAGGGGCGACCAGCCCCGCTGGGGACCCAACAGAGCCCAGGGACTCAGATCCCACCAGGAGGCCACTGGGATCAATCAGGCAGACTCCAACAATCTTAAACCCCCTGACACGGGAGCCATGAACACTCAGGCAGACCAAGGCACCACGCTCCACACCAAATGTGGCAAGGGGAGAGTAGGTGAAGATGTATAGTAGCCAGGGGTGGACTGGCCTATCTGGCATTTTGGCACTGTCCCGGTGGGCCGCTTAGTCATGTGGGCTGCTTGCTCAGCTTGGGCTGACACTACTCCACAGTTGGTGATCTGCAGAACATTAGCTACATGGTAACCCGAAACTAACGGAGTTTTTCCAGGCGTTTTAAGCAAGAAAAATGCGGTAGAGCGATGACGTAGGAGTTGTTTTACCGCGTCAGCATGTAGCTAATGTCCTGCTGATCTCCACCCGTGGAGAATGAGCCTATCTGGAAGGCCAGGGCTCCTGGTCGCAGCTGTCTGGCCCTGCTTGTATCTTACATTCGGCCTAGAGGCAAGTCCGCAGGCGTTAAAACCCCCCACCCCCACCAATCTCCCAAAGGGCCGAAGATTCGTAAAAATGCCAGCACCGAATTTTGGTCCCAGTCCACCCCTGAATTAGTAGCTCAAGAAGTCCCAGGAGAGGGGAGGAGTCCAAGGCCCCACCTGACATTTATAGTCAAACACAAACTCAGTCACAGACTCCCTCCCTCATATTCACACATACACATACAACCTAAGATTTACAAATATGCACGCCGGACACCCACTCATGCTCCCCACACACACCCTATTCACTCTGGTCCTGGTACTGCTTTACAAAGGGTACAACCATCACCGGTTCCCAGAGTTCACCCCATTCTGCTGAGGTGCTGATGAGCAGGCTCCCCCGCTCAATGCTGAGCAAAGCAACCCACCACCCCAGACCCCAACCAGACGGCCAGCTCCGCCTCCTAGCCTCCAGCCCCGGGAAGCCAAGCAACAACGGACAACAATTAATCACAAATTAACAAACTTGGAGGAAATCAGAGTAAAAACAGTTTCTGATGCTCTGATAACAGCTGCATTTTCACATGGTCAACTTTGTTTTAAACACTTTAGAACTCCACTAATTCATCAGTTCTACTAGAATCAGCAGAAATCCTGATTTTCTGTCTGAGGAGTCAAATGAATCAGTTAGAAGTACGTTTTTTACTTTGTGTCTGAAGGTCCAGATTCACTGAAGTCTGGAGGTCTTTCCTTGGAGACGTCACTCTTCATAGACCAACAGCTGGGTCCTGGAGGTTCTGCTCTGTTCTCCTCTTCTTCCATCTCCATCTTCTTCCTGAAACTGATGTTTCAAGTTTGGACTCAAAAATATTTTGTATCAGAGTTAACAAGACAAACGAGCTACGTTCTTTAAGTAAGCAGAGAAGTCAAATTTGTGCCCAGTCTTTAGTTTGTTAAATTTTTTGGAATGAATTCCTTTATCCTTACGTAGAATTGACAGTCTGGACACCTTTAAAAAACAGCAATCAATCAACAGCTGCTTTTACCTAAATCTTTGATTTTCTTATTTTTAACTCAAATTTTTAATCTTTCATCTGTTTATGAAATTTAATAATTTTATGACTTGATTTTTTCTGATGTTAATCTAATTCTGTTTTGAGATCATTATGATTTTATGACTTTGTTTTATTTTGTTTTGATCTATGTGAAGCACGTTGTGATTCTGTCTGTGATAGGTGCTATATAAATACAAATTTACTTACTTACATTTTCATCTTTTAATTTTACTGAAATTTATTTTTTATGTAAAACAGAAAAGTACATTTTATTGCCATACAAACACCAGACTAAATATTTCATAACTTTACTGTATTCTTAGACACTGAGTCAAAAACCTCATTGTGCATTTTGCCTTGGTGTCACTTTAAGTCCTGTTAGGTGAGGACTTTCTTTATATTATGGTAAAGGCTCCTCTGCTATAACTAGAATAAAAAATTTTATCATTTTTCTGTAGATTTTTGAAAGAGACACAGTCTAACCACATTTACATCCCCTCAGGCTGTCTGGGTGGTGAGGGGAGAACACAGTAAAAATAAAATAATAAAAATAAAAAGGAAGTAAATGTGGCTAATGGTGATGGTGATGAAACCAGGTAAAAGAGTGTCGGATAGCGGTTTGAAAGGTTTAAATCACAAAAGGGTGGTCACTCAGCTTTACAAGTATGCAAACAACTAAAAATGACTCATTCTTACTAATTAGGGAGGGGGGAAAAGATTCTAAATCTCAGGAGTGGGTCAACATAAAAAAGGGATTGTCAAACAGCAAAAAGTTAACCTTAGCAAAACTGTTTTAAAACAGAGTCCACAAGCTAAGCTAAACTTTATTCCCAGCTGTGGAGATCACAGACTGATTCTGTGTCTCTCTGAATGGAGGAATGGGGAGGCTTAAATATTCTCAGGTGCAGCTGCTTCCACACCACTCTGCTGGTCTCTGGTGCAGGATGGCAGGAAAGCAGGGACAGAGGTCTGCAGTAACAGCAGGCCAAATGGTGGGCAGAGGGTAGAAAACATGGGGACCGTAACAACCACCTCCAGATTATAGGTTTGTTCCTTTTCCAGGAATTTTCTTTCACCAAAGTCCTGGAAGTTATTTTTGAGAGCTCTTACATTTGCAGACGAGTTTCTTCTGTGAAAGTATGTGATTTTGAAAGCTTTTTATAATAAGAGGAAAAATAATGCACTTTGATCCCAAGCTTTAAATAGACAATCTAAATTGATATATATTCTGGATCATCAGTAATGAGGTACTTTGACTCAAGATTAATCCAAAAATCTACAGTAAAACTGTATAATTTATTTATTCCGGTTGTCGTATCGTGACCCTTGGCAGAAAAAAAAACACTGTATGTCACGTTGAAAGAATGGTTTGGACCCAAAATGCAGAACCCAGGATGACACGAGGCAGGAGTTGAAATAAAGAAATCCTTTTATTGTACGATGAGTTAAAAATAATAAATCCAAAGGCTGGGAGCCAAAATCCAAAAATACAAGAGGAACAGGCAGAACTGGCAAGATAAACCACACTGAGGAACAACACTGACAGCAACTAACAACAATGGACTGACAAGAACAATGAGACATGGAGGGCTTATATAGACAGGGAGGAGCAATTAGGGAAACAGGAAGCAGGTGTGTGGAGTGAGGCTGGAGGAAGGCAGGTGACAACAATTATCTGGATGGGGAAGAGAACCAGAGGAGGGCAGATAAACCTAGCACTATATAAAACACAAAACTAAACCTAAAGACTAAGGGAAGAACTCACACAAACACATACACATACTGACACACACAAACTCATGCACTAATATAAACAGGAATGGGGAATGGACAAGCACACACACACACACACACACACACACACACACACACACACACACACACACACACACACACACACAAACACTGAGCAGGGGACTGACAGACACACAGGTCGAGCTGGGGACAAAGAAACTGGGGGCTACAAGGACACAGAATGTAAATGAGACCTGGAGGGCCTGGGGAAGAATGAGATGACACAAGACCAGGGAGGATTTGACTTAAAGGACTATCAACATAAGACACATAATGGACGCAGACAAAGGACACATGAGGGCGCTATGAGACACAAAAGGGGAATCTAAAGAGGGATGGAGGACATAAGGAGACACATGGGGAAGACACAGACGCAGACCATGACAGTGTAACCCCGAACAAGTTCACTGAACTCAAAATGTGTGAGGAAACTGATTACCTAATAATGTTTAAGTTAACTTATCTAAAAACTATAAGTTTGCCACAACTTTAAAAATAATACCTTAATAAAATTAAAGCATTTAACTACCTCTAACCTATAACTAGCACTTAAGCAACTTACAAAGTTTAATTTAAACTTGCATGTTTTATTTTATTTGAACTTTATTGCATGTTTTTACTTTTTTTTTTTTTTTTTTTTTTTTTTTTTTTTTAACGTGTCCTGTCTGGCTGTGAAGCAAGCAGAATTGATGTCTGAATGCTGGTAACAAGCCTTACAGTTTTACTCTCAGGTGGAGCATCAGAGCATCTGCTTTTAATGTCTCAGGTGGAGCATCAAAGAGTCTGCTTTTAATGTCGCACCTGATATTTAAAACTTTATTGTTATTGTTTTTGAATGCTTTGTAATTTCGACCAGACACGGAGACAGAGGTGAAAGAGAAAGGAAAAGAGAAAAGGTGGGGAGAGAGGGGGTTAGGTGGGGGGGGGATTCAACAAAAATAAACAATAATGAACAAGAGTCTGCTTCTAGACCTGCAAAATGAGACGAGAAAAAAGCAAAACATAACAAAAAAATGGGACACAACACCAATATAACAAAATCAAGCTATCACTGCGTCAACTTGATGAAGAAATATATAATCAATCATTGTTTAACTAAACAGTCACACGATAATATACCACAGTGCATTGAGTGCCCACCATAGTCTTAAGACATGTGTTGAACGTGCCCAAGCCCATACTTATGAGAGCACCATGTGAGCACCTGTGTGTGTACACGCGCTTGTTTATGTAAGGTTTATCTATAGGAGCGTCCAATAGAGAGTGTGAGGGACCACAGATCTGCCCCCCAAAGACGCGTAGGAGACGGGGGGGAGCTCCAAGTCCCAGAGATCCAGGCGCTGCCCCAGAACACAGGAACCCCAAGGAGCCCGCAACCAGAAAGGCCCCCGCCCCCCTCGAGAGGCACAGAGGATCGCCCCGGGGGGCCACAACCAGCAGCCGGCAGAGCCCCGGGAGATATCAGCGGCAAGTCCTCAGGCCTGCCCGCAGCCTCCCACCCCCTAGCCGGCCGAGTCCGGGACCCAGCGACCCGGGACCCAGGGGCGACCACCCCCGCCGGGGACCCAGCAGAGCCCAGGGACCCAGACCCCCCCAGGCCGCCACCGGGATTGATCAGGCAGATGCCAAAAATCTTAAACTCCCTGACCCGGGAGCCACGAACACTCAGGCAGACCAAGGCATCACACCCACACCAGGTGTGACAGGGGGGAGGGGAGACGAAGATCTATATCATCAAAGGAGGTCCCAGGAGAAGGGAGGAGTCAAAGGCCCCACCTGACATATACAGTCATACACAAACACAGTCACACACTCCCTCCCTCATGCTCACACATGCACATACAACCAAAGACTTACAAAAATACACGCCGGACACTCATTCATGCTCCCCATACACACCCTATTCACTCTGGTCCCGGTAATGCTGCACATGGGGTACAACCACCACCGGTTACCAGAGTTTGACCCTTTCTGCTGGGGTGCCGATGAGCAGGCTCCCCCGCCCACCGCCGAGCACAGCAACCCACCACCCCAGACCCCAACCAGACGGCCAGATCTCCCTCCTAGTCTCCAGCCCCAGGCAGCCAAGCAACAACAGAGGTGTGCTAAGACCCCCTGGTCTCCCTCCACCTGCTCCAACATAGTGTTGTGGGTTAATGAGGTGTATTCTATTGCTGTGGTGAGCGGGCAGTGCGGGCATTTTCTGGCCTATGCCAGCTGATGCCACTGCACCACCCTACTTGCACCCACAGCCCTTGGTGTCTAAATGCAGTTTAAAATTCGAAGTGGGCACCGGCACTCGGGAGGAGGCTGAGAACTCCCCCTGCCAAGTGCCGTTGAATGTGCTCACTCCCAAGGCCCTAAGTGTATGTTTGCGTGGAATGTCGTCGGTGGAAGTGCATAAGGTGCAAATAAAATTGGGGGGCAGGAAGCCACAGGAATGCGGAAATGGGGTCCATACCCGCACTCCTCGACCTGTCCACCCCCCAAGGTCCTATGTGCATGTTTGTGTGATGATGTGAGGGAGCAGGAGGAGAGAAATAAACGGGGATGGGGAGGAATGGCTGGTAGGGCTTAGCCCTCCAGGGAGCCAGCTCCCCCACTGACCCCAATAGGCACCTCCGTTGTCATACCGCTGCCCAGGGCATGGAGACCCCAGCCCATCCTGCCAGGGCCCAAAGCAGCAGCATCACAGAGCCCCACAGAGCCCGAGGGAGCCGACCCAGCCCCACCCCAGCAGAATATCTATGCCCATCCCTGCATTTGCACAACTTCCAGAATATATAAGACATAAGACATCCAGGTAAGGTTGGGTCCTCCCCCTCCTGGACCTCCCCCTCCCCTGTGATGGGACAACAGAGGAGCCAGGGCCTGCCCTACGCCCCCGAACCCGGGCCAGGTACTTCTGCGTATTCCTGCCTTCTTCCCGGCAGCGTACATGTAGGGACCCGACCCCCAAGGCCCAGCCCAGATCCCCACACGGGGCCGGCCA